CCTTGCAAAGTGGACCTGTTGTTGATCCTACAGCATCTTCCTACAACATATAACTTAGATTACAGATTAGTTTTCTCTCAATGTCAAATATCCTTGAGGCACACACTTGATATCCCCATTCTTTTGCATGACCCACCAGGTATACCCTAGTCCTTGGGCGAAGACAATCCCACGAGTGGGTTTGCCTTTTCCCGAGGCAGGAGCAACCCACACTGCCTTCCCCATCCACCTTCCTACATGCACTACGGGAACTTTAGCTCCTTTCACAGTGTGTAGGGGTTTTGTTTCAGCAGGACCAGCACGGCTGTCAGACCCCCTATTGTTAACTAGCCAAGTGGCTTCTGGTAGACTTATGTCCCATTGTTTCCATGTCCCAGCACCTAATGCTCGTAACATAGTCTTTAACAGTCCATTGTACCTCTCAACCTTCCCAGAGGCTTGTGGGTGATAAGGGATGTGATACACCCACTCAATACCATGCCTCTTGGCCCAGGAGGTAACAAGATTGTTTCGGAAATGACTCCCATTGTCAGACTCAATTCTCTCTGGTGTACCATGACGCCATAATACTTGTCTTTCCAGGCCCAAGATAGTGTTTCGGGCCGTGGCATGGTTTACAGGGTATGTTTCCAGCCACCCAGTAGTTGCTTCTACCATGGTGAATATGTACCGTTTGCCTTGGCGGGTTTGTGGGAGTGGTCCGATATAGTCAATTTGCCAGGCCTCACCATATTGAAACCCTAGCCATCTCACCCTGTTCCAGGGAGATTTTACCTTCATGGCTTTCTTGAGTGCAGCACAGGTCTCACACTCATGGGTGACCCGTGTGATGGCCTCAATGGTCAGGTCCACCCCTCGATCACGAGCCCATCTGTAAGTGGCATCCCACCCCAGATGTCCTGATGTTTCATGGGCCCATCGAGCTACAAACAGCTCACCCTTACATTCCCAGTCTAGGTCCACCTGAGCCACTTCAATTTTTGAAGCTCAATCCACTTCTTCGTTGTTCTGATGTTCTTCAATAGCGCGACTCTTGGGCATGTGGGCATCTACATGACGTACTTTAACATCCAGGTTTTCTACCCGGGCAGCAATATCTTGCCACAGGGTAGCAGCCCAGATAGGTTTACCTCTGCGCTGCCAGTTGCTCTGTTTCCATTGCTGCAGCCACCCCCACAGAGCATTTGCCACCATCCATGAGTCAGTGTAAAGATACAGTACTGGCCAATTTTCTCTTTCGGCGATATCTAGGGCTAGTTGTATGGCTTTTACTTCTTTATACTGACTCGACTCACTTTCCCCTTCCATGGCCTCCACAACTTGTCGTATGGGATTCCACACAGCAGCTTTCCATTTCCGATGGCTCCCTACCACACGGCAGGATCCGTCAGTAAACAACGCCTACTGCTTTCTGTCTTCTGGCATCTCATTTTATGGTGGTGCCTCTTCAGCACGGGTTACCTCTTGGCACTCCAAAATCTCTGCCTTCCGGCCAGTCCATAATCTCTTCCAGGATTCCTGGATTGGGTTTTCCCATTCGAGCCCGCTGTGTAATTAACGCTATCTACTTACTCCATGTAGCATCAGTTGCATGGTGTGTAGTGGGAATTTTCTCTTTGAACATCCAATGTAACACAGGTAGCCGCGGTGCCAAGAGGAGCTGTGCTTCTGCACCCACAACTTCTGAAGCAGCTTGAACACCCTCATATGCTGTGAGTATTTCCTTTTCAGTTGGGGTATAATTGGCTTCTGATCCTCGATAGCCCCGACTCCAGAAGCCCAGAGGTCGACCTCGAGTTTCTTCTGGGGTTTTCTGCCAGAGGCTCCAGGTGAGGCCATGCTCCCTAGCTGCAGTAAAGTATGTTTTGCACAGCTGGTCCGGTATGGACAGGCCCAAGGGCTACTGCACGAGCTATTTCTTGTTTGATTTGTTCAAATGCCTGTGTTTGCTCAGGGCCCCACTCGAAATAGTTTCTCTTTCGAGTCACTCGATATAGAGGACTCACAAGCTGACTATAGCCTGGCACATGCATTCTCCAGAATCCCACGAGGCCTAGGAAAGCTTGTGTTTCTTTTTTGCTAGTTGGCGGAGACATTGCTGTTATTTTGGTGATCACAACCATTGGAATATGGCGACGTCCGTCCTGCCATTTTACCCCCAAGAACTGGATTTCCTGTGCAGGCCCCTTGACCTTGCTCTGTTTAATGGCAAAACCAGCTTTCAGGAGAATTTGGATTACTTTCTTCCCTTTCTCAAAAACTTCTTCTGCTGTGTTGCCCTACACGAGGATATCGTCAATGTACTGAAGGTGCTCAGGAGCTCCCCCTTGCTCCAGTGCAGACTGGATCAGTCCATGGCAAATGGTAGGGCTGTGTTTCTAGCCCTGGGGCAGCCGATTCCAGGTGTATTGGATGCCCCTCCAAGTGAAAGCAAACTGCGGCCTGCATGCTGCTGCCAAAGGGATGGAGAAAAATGTATTAGCAATATCAATTGTGGCGTACCACTTGGCTGCCTTTGACTCTAGTTCGTACTGAAGTTCTAGCATGTCCGGCACTGCAGCACTCAGTGGTGGCGTGACTTCATTCAGGCCTCAATAGTCCACTGTTAGCCTCCACTCGCCATTAGAATTTCGTACTGGCCATATAGGACTATTAAAGGGTGAGCGAGTCTTGCTGATTACTCCCTGACTCTCCAGTCAGTGAACCAACTCATGGATGGGAATCAGGGAGTCTCGGTTGGTGCGATATTGCTGTCGGTGCACCGTTGTAGTAGCAATTGGTACCTGTTGTTCTTCAACCTTCAGCAATCCTACAACAGAAGGGTCTTCTGAAAGGCCAGGCAGGGTAGACAGCTGCCTAATCTTCTCTGTGCTCAAAGCAGCTATGCCAAAAGCCCACCGATATCCTTTTGGATCCTTGAAGTACCCTCTCTTGAGATAGTCTATGCCAAGGATACACGGAGCCTCTGGGCCAGTCACAGTGGGATGCTTTTGCCACTCATTCCCAGTTAGACTCACTTCAGCCTCCAGTACAGATAGTTGTTGGGATTCCCCTGTCACTCCAGAGATACAGGTGAGTTCTGTCCCTTGGTAGCCTGATGGCATTAGGGTACATTGTGCGCCAGTGTCCACTAGAGCTTTGTATTCTTGTGGTTCTGATGTGCCAGGCCATCGGATCCACACAGTCCAATAAATCCGGTTATCCCTCTCCTCTACCTGGCCATAGGCAGGGCCCCCGTAGTCCTGGCTGGAGCATCTGCAACTTAATTCTTGCAAATGAGAGGCAGAGGTCCCTTCATCAGGGTCAAGAATAACATCAGCTCTTCTACTGCCTCTGGGGTACTGCCCAATAGAAACTGGAGCAGCATTTCTCTTAGGAGCCCCTCTTCTTGCTGCTGTATTTCCTTTCAGTTCACGTACCCGAGCAGCTAGGGTTGAAGTAGGTACACCATCCCATTTCCTCATATCTTCCCCATGGTCACGCAGATGAAACCACAAGGTGCCACGTGGTGTACGTCTTGGGTACTCTCTCTCTTGAGCAGGCGAATGCTGATTCTTAGTGGCTGAAGTATCACTCTGTCTAAATGAGGGGGAATATACTCATTCCACGAGCTGGTCAAGTCCTTTAGACAGTTTCTCCACAGCTGAGACACAGGACTGTAGCGGAGCAGAGAGATTGTCTTCATATTGTTGAAGCTGGCAGGACACATCATACATTGTTGGTCCCATCCCCTCATCCCAGTGAATTACTGCCAGGGTACTGGCATGGGCTGATGGTGCACCCCGCACAAATTTACGCCACATGGATGTTGTGCACTGGACTTCATCGGGGTCTTGAGGTGTCTGGGCATTGTCCAAATCACTATAAATCATCTCCCGCACAGCTAATTCCCGCAGATGCTGGAGACCTTTATCCATAGTGGTCCACTTGCCTATGTGATATACAATATCTTCCTTATGGGGATATCTTTCTCTCACAGCTGCCAGGAGTCGTCTCCAGAGGCTGAGGGCCTGTGCTCCTCTCCCAATTACTTTGTCAATTACCCTTTCTCTAGAGAGGGATCCCAGCTGCTTGGCTTCATTGCCTTCTAATTGTAGGCTATTGGCCCCAGCATCCCAGCATCGAAGTAGCCAGGTGAGGATGTGTTCACCTGGGCGTCGACTATAATCCTTTCGTATTTCTCGCAACTCACTCAGGGATAAGGATCGAGTGATTTCTGATTCCTTTATGATTTCCATCTCTTCTTCCTGCTGTTTTTGTGATGGCTCTGCTTTAGAGGTGCCTGCCATTTCCCCTTCTCCCTCCTTCTTAGGAGAGCCTTCTTCCCTTACTAAACAAGCTGACCTCCGTTTCCATTGTTTTGACTTGACTATGGGGGCGACTGATACCATAGTCAGTTGGTCCTCTGGGTCAGCCACAGCGTGTGTTACTTGGTCATCAGATTCAGAGACTTCCTCCCTCTCTTCAAGTTGCTGGATGATGTTAAACAGTGTTTGATAGGAATAAGCCAGGACCCAGCACGATGCTGCAAGCTGTCGTTCTCCAGCATTATCAGGGTCAGGACATACAACTCTCAAACATTCTACCAAGTTTTTAGGATTTAGCACTTGCTCAGGGGTGAAGTTCAAAACTATTGGAGGAGACACTTGTGACAGGTATCTGACAACATCATCCCACACACCTTGCCACTCACCACAAGACTGTTTCGGGACAGATTCCCAAGTAAGTTTTCTAAACAATCGACTAATCTTAGAAAGAAAATGAAACCTGTTATTCAGAATTAGAAATAGCAATACATGGGTTACAGATGGATCTTCAAAATACTCCCAAACTGTTGTAATTAGCCCACTGTGAAAGAAGGGAAAGGTACCATTCCTAATATTATTAATAAACTGGTGTCCAGATGAGAAAAGGAAGGCAGTGTAGTTCTGAACATTCTCTGAAAGATAGTTTCCATGAGACCCAAATGATAACAGCGCAGAGCCTGAATTCCAGATTAAACCCAAGGTCAGTGCTTGGCAGCACAGCGAATTAAAAAAAGTGAACACAGATTGTAGCACTTTGTCGGATCGGATATATAGGAGAAAGGAGAATATGACACGGATTGCATGACATATGAACAAAGCTATTATTAACAGGACAATGTACATGGTTACTAGCAAGCAAGTGTGTTAGTTGTATGTGTTTAATCAATTCTATTGTTATCTCAACCCTTCGAGCCCCACGTTGGGCGCCAAAAAGGACTGTGGTGGTTTTACCGTGCTGGGCAGCTAAACCCCACAACCGCTCTCTCACTCCCCTCCTTTAGATGAGGACTGTATGGGCTGCTGCCGGGAAAGGGGCATAGGCGTGCTACATCCTTGGCCTGCCCTATTATTATCGACCCTGTGCAAGGCACTGGGTTGTGGCAGCCACATGACTGCAAGCTTTTACAACAAGCTCGAAAAATGGGTTTGGACTATGGATTACAATCCCAGGCGGCTCAACAGATAATACAATGGATTTTTCAAGCAAAACCAATGTGTCCACTTGACTGTCGAAACTTGGCGCGCTTAATGTTAACTCCTTCCCCATTGTTATTGTTTGAAAGGGAATGGTTGCAGTTACCACAGGGGGAAGCGGGTCAACCGCATCAACCGGGGAACCCTCTGTATGGCATTACTGCAGAGATGTTAAAGGGGACAGGTCCTTATCTCAATACCCAGATTTAGTTGCAGTTCCCTGCGATTATTCACCAAACAGCTGTGCAGCTCGCACTGAGGGCTCTTCTTAGTCTCCCGGGGGAAAAGAAAGCACCTCCATTCGCATCTGTAGAACAGGCCCCTGGGGAACCACATGCTAAATTTATCAATCAGTCCAGGCAACCAGATGTGGTGGCACAGGATTGTCAGAGATTTGCTTTTACGGTACCCTCCATTAACAAAAAGGCCCTGGCAAAGCGCGATGAATGGCTAGTGCTTCTACAGGGGATGAGGAATTCCCCTACATTATGTCAATTATATGTGGCCTGGGCATTACAACCAATTCGGACAGCGTGGTGTGACGTAATTATTTACCATTGTATGGATAACATTCGGTTTGGTGGGCCAGAATGCTTCCAGGATTCAGATTTAAAGTTTATTCAGGATACTTTTGAAGCAACAGGGTTGAAGATAGCCCCAGAGAAGGTTCAACAGAAACAGCCATGGCTATACTTGGGATGGAAAATGTCAGACTCTACTATTCGTCCCCAGAAAGGTGATCTAACTATGGTGTTACATAATTTGATAAATGTACAAATGTTCCTGGATAATATTCAGTGGGGTTGCCACATTGTACGGATTACTAATGACAACTTAGCTATATTACTACCTTTATTGCGGTGCAGGAGTGCAGAGCCACAGATTACACTAACAAATGACCACTGGCAGGCTCTTTCACAAATAGCTTCTAAGGTTGCAGCCGTATAGCAGACATTGCACTCTCCTTCCTAATTAGCGATCATGTGTCTCATCCATTTGCGGTGCTTGGTCAGTGGCAAAAAGAAAAGGGGGAGAGTAAGGGGCGACAAAGACAGAAACAGTATCAGGAGGATGCCACTGACACTAACAGCACGGGTAATAGGAGTAGTATAAGTGACACAGGTGATGGCAAGGGTGGAATGATAGGGCAGCATTTTCGAGTTCTGGAATGGATTTTCCTACAGATTCAGCCAAAAACGAGTGTTCAGACACGGGCAGAAGCTATCGCAGTTAGTACGTGGTTGCTCTCGGAGTATTGAGATCAGCGGGCAGGAACCAGGAGATCTGCCAGGATCACTTGGAATGGTGTTTACAGCAATCCATACCACTACAATAAGCTGTGTTAGATTACCCATTCCTGAACTCCAAAGGGGCCTCTCTGGCAAGTTATAAGATCATATAAATGGCAGATAGTACCACGGCTTTCGTCCCGACCAGTGGTGGGTCGCACTGTATACACTGATGCAGGTGCGGCAAGTAGGAAGGCTGTGTGTGTGTGGTACGAGAACGGAAGTTGGGAGAAATACATAATTCCGGGGGAGACAGGGGATTCATTACAAACATTGGCGCTGTCTGTAGTTTTTTGGCTTGTCAGTGCTGGATGCATGAGCCAATTAATTTCGTCTCAGGCTCTCTGTATGTTGTCAACATGGTAAAACGGATAGAGGATGCTTTGATACGGCAAACTAAGAGGTACAGATTGTTATTATTTCTGCAGCTGCGAGATGCCATTCAGGGGAGAACTGCACCTTACTGTGTTATCCATATGCATAGTCACCAGTTCTCAATTGAGTTAATAGAAGGTAATTCACAAGCAGACAATTAGGTGAGTTAAAAAGTCACAGAGGGGCCTGAGAGTGATTTTGCACATGCGCGAGTGTTGCACAAAATGTTCCATCAGCATGCAAAGGGTCTTCGGAGAATACTTGGATTTGCTTGGACAGAGGCAAAAGGAATAGTAAGAGCGTGCGCTTCCTGTAGTCATCATGGACCAGGGTTAGGTTTGGGTATTAATCCACGGGGTGTTAAGGCACTTGAGGTATGGCAAATGGATGTAACGCATGTGCCGGAATACAGTACTGAAAGATATGTGCATGTGAGTATTGATACTTTTTCAAGATTCATATGGGCAACGGCACAGGGGGGGAGAAAAAGCACACAAAAGTGTGTGGCCATTATGAGAGTGCCACAGCAGATCAAGATGGACGATGGTCCAGCGTATGTCAGCAAAAGGGTTAGAAAATTTATGAAAATGTGGGGAGTAAAGCATATCACAGGTGTTCCATATTCTCCCACGGGCCAAGTGATGGTTGAACGATCACATCAGGTTTTAAAGGAACAATTAGTGAGGTTAAAAGAGATCAAGAACATCGATGAGCGATTGTCCGAGGCGGTGTTTGTCTTGAATCACTTATGTTTGACTAGTGACCGAGAAGACCCTCCTGCGAGTATTCACTTTCAAACAATAAATATAGAAGCACCAAATGTGTTCCCTCAAATAAGAATGAATTACCGAGATCCTGCCACAGGAACTTGGAAAGGGCCATACGGGTACAGAAATACAAGTAACACCTGTGGTTACAATGACACTGCTAGGCAGGGTTTAGGGGCTTATGGTGCGGAGACAAGAGGTAACAACTACAGCATTTGGAACAATCTTACAGCTATGGCCTTACCTCCTGATGTTTTTCTGATTTGCGGGGATAGGGCCTGGCAAGGTATCCCTGCAAATGCTATCGGAGGTCCATGTTACTTAGGTAAACTTACTATATTTGCTCCTAGCTTTTCACAGTTGTGGGAGATCACCAGACATACATGGGCATTGCTCGCACCGGATTGCAATGATAATGTTGAATTGCTTGGTGTTGCAGCTAGAGCAGCATTGGCAATTTTAGTGCCAGGAGCAGCAGCTGCGGCCACACTTAATAACTTAGAAAAATTGGTATACTGGACCGAGAAGCAAGCCCATGCCACGACAGAGATACTTGAGGAGATGTTACCAGATCAAAATAGTCTGCGCCATGCGCTCTTACAGGATCGAGCTGCTATTGACTTCTTGCTCCTGGCTCAAGGGCATGGGTGTGAGGACTTTGAGGGAATGTGCTGCATGAACCTTTCTGATCATAATGAGTAAATTCACAAATCCATTACTTTCTTGAAAGAGCGCATGAGAAAGATTCAATATGATATCAATCCTTTCAATCAATGGCTCACTGATTTGTTTGGAATGATGCCTAGATGGTTACTGGGATTAATCAAAGAGGGATTAAAGATTCTGTTTGTTGTGGTGTTAATCACGCAATCATTGCGTGTTGTATTGTAATAAGTGTGGTTAAAGGGTTACTTGTAAAAGTGTTACATTGGGCTTGTTTTGCTCAAAAAGAAAAAAGGGGAATTGTTGAGGGATTTTTGAAACAGCAAAGATCCCATGGCTTGCTGCAGCTGAGCAAACCAAGGTACCAGGACGACTATGAGAAGTTCTCATGACAGTGTTCCCACATCGCCCAATTGAGGAATTTAGAAAAATATTGTTGCCAGCAGCTGGCTTCAAGGCCGGGATCTATGTGACTGCTAATCACAAGGGGGTTGTTTTCTTGCAGGTGGGGTTGTTTTCTTGCAGTTGTTTGTCTGAGTGCTTTTGACCAATAATCTTGTATGAGACACTATCCGCCCCTGTTAAGTTTGCTATAAAAGTCAGGCTATTTGGGTAATAGAGAGCATGATCTGACCATACTAGTGTCTGTCGTGTTTTCGGCCATTCTTCCTGCTACAGATGCTGTACATTTTCTTTAAAATGTGAATATTTTTTTTTATTTTACTAGTTGCTTTAGGCAATTATACTACATTCTGTGCGTTTTCCCTTGTTAGGTTTATGGAGGTAGTTAAAAGGGAAAATGTTGCTCTGTTTTTTTCTATGTTGTGGTTTTATTTAGGCTTCTTTGGACTAGTTAAAATTGATATATAAAATTTTTATAATTAATGTGTAGCTGGAAATATTTGGTGTTCTCACATTCATAAGAAAGTTTAACTTCTGTAACTTGTTTCTTTCTTGTCTTTTCCTAAAAAATACAGCCTGGTTTTCCACTTGTGTCAGTGTAATTTCTGGTAGGTATTTACTGATGTGATATTATACAAAAACTTGTTTTTTCCTATGACCTGGAGGGGTGAGAGGCAGTAGTATACAGAGAAGCCTCTTTCTTTTTGACATTTATATCTAATTCTATTCTATCCAAATAGACTTCTTGGGAGACTGTAGGGGGAAAGAAGAAAAGCCTTGGAAAAGAAAGTTCAGAAAACAAAGAGAACAGAGAAAAACGAGGGGACAGAGAAGTGAGTCGTGGACGGGGAAGTTCCAGCAGACGGGGAAGAGGAGGCAGCCGTTGCCGAGAGTGTACGTACGGGGGTTCATTTTTAAAAGCTTCAGGCACTTTTCTTGCAGGTGAAACTGATTGAGAGCAAATGCGTAATGGAATAAAAATGTCAGAGGTATAGCTCCATGCCTAAGTGGTTATAACTTGTTTACGTGACAGGTGTGCTTGATCTCTCTACGTGACTTAGTTTTGGGATAGTCTGTGCTTGTATTTTTCAGTTTCTGTCCTTTTTTTTTATATTAATTGATCTTGTGCTTACTGGTCTTTTATTTAAGTTTTATAATTGAGTCTTTGTAAGACTGAGAGCAAGTATTTCACTGCACAGCTGATATACTTTGTTTCTTTTAATGAAAAAAATATCCAGCTTTGACTCCATCTCCTTTTATGAGTGGGATAACCTGAAAATGTTCTCATCTTCTCATAAGGGGAATGAAAAGACTGGGATCATTATCGATCTCTAGCATGTATTACTGATGTAAGCCAGCCACGGGTGAGTTACTACAACGGAGAAAGTGCTTTGTGAACTAAAACATTAAAAAAAAAAAAAAAAAAAAAAAAAAGAAAAAGCTACAGTTTATACAGGTCTAATAGGACCTTGTGCAAAAGAGGACTAATATTTTCCAAAGCAGGTAGCATCACAGTATCATCCAGGTTGGAAGAGACCTCCAGGATCACCTAGTCCAACCTCTGACCTAACACTAACAAGACCTCAAACACATTAAATTGCTATTGGATTCACATAGCCTTTTTCTACTAAGCTTTCTTAGCAATGTCTAAGCTACATGTATTGCCTATAAGAGCCATCAACAGCACTGATAAATGAGCAGAGAATGGAGAGAGATGAAAAAAAAACAACAGTCCTTTTCCTTTAGAAGCAGGAAAAAGTATTTATAACAATCGCCAACTTTTCTAATTAATTATTGGAATATATTAAAATATTGTGCCGTTGAAAGCATTGAGAAGCTCTGTAGGATAGAGTAACATCAAAAATGAAAGTGAGAGGCAAGATTTTTGCCAGAAACAGATGCTGTTTGTTTCTTTCCTAAACTGAAACTAAAGATTTTCAGATGGTTACCAGATCTTGTGTTTTCTTCCCACCTTTTTATGCATGTGTTAATGGTTTTGCTGCTGCTATTAGGACAAACTGTGCAATACAAAATACTCAGCAGTGTTTTAAGTGGACAGTCATCAATTTTCTTCAGAGAGCCAGCCATCTTTCAGAATATCTACATATCTACTCAGCAGTTTCCCACAAAATAGAAGTTGTAGTGCTTTTCAAACATCTAGCCTTCTGTCACCATCATCCTCTGATTTAAATACAGAGGAGAGTTAAATTCTCCTTGTTGTGTAGGGATGTGACACTGACAGATAGGAGATTTGGTATTCTTGGTTATCCCTTATTCTTCCACTGTTGCCAACTAACACATTCACAAGAAAGTGAAGTATGAGGCAGTTCGTTTCTTCCCTATTCAGAGAAGTGGGACTATAACTAATTTAATAGGGTAGGCTGCAAAGCGCTGCACTTCTTCAAAAAATAAGCATCTGATATGTTTCCCTCTTAATGGACATTTTCCTTTCTAATTGTCAAATTCCAAGTAAGCAACTTGCTTGTGGCTAGGCCTGCAAAGAAGAGGGGTGACTGAGATATCTTGACCATACCACTCTGAAAATCTTATATTTCCTTTTCAAAGGATTCAATTTAAGCAGATGGCTATATTGTCTTATGTATGAATCTCTAAAATTTCTGTTAAGCTGTCTTCTCTCCACAGTTAGAGATGAAGAGAATGGATTGGACAACAGTCAAGGAGACAGGCCTTCAGATTGTGGAAAACGTGGCCGTGGGAGAGGTGAGATGGTGGCATTGGTGTGGGACTGGCCCTGATTTCATTTCCTGAAATGGAATCCCTCCCCCCCCCCGCATGTGTTTACTTAAAAACTTAAGTATTTGGTTATCCTTTGATTCCATAAGCACTTCATCCACTTTTAATTTAGTTACTTGCCACCCCCCATAGCCCTTCTCATTGTTTGGTCTTAGAGTGACTTAAAGGTGATTTATATCAATTATTTTTGCAATTTTTCGTGTGGTATGCTGGTGTGCTCTGGCTATCGAGAGCTGTTTTCCCAGATCGAATAATGGTGGCCTGGAAGTTGGAGTGCACTGGGCTCTTCAAGATGTACATTGGTAGCAGGAAAGCACAAGATTCCATCTGTGGAGCTCTCGGGGAGGGATTTGTTGTGTGCTTGCCCCATTTCTTTGGGGTAGATCCTGTTGTTAGGTTTGTCTTCTGCTTTCAGTACCCAGTCAGAGAGCATTAGCTAACTTAGCGGCTTTTTGGTGAGAGAAGTTTTGGCATGAAGTTGTTGATAAGGAGAGGTGTGGAAAGATCACTGTGGAGTCACAGGTAGAATTGTGCATCCTGTAAAAGAGATGGGAAAGATGTTGACAATGGACTTGATGCGGAATCAAGGGATGCATAGTTTGTTTGGATTTTCATGGGTTTGAGTGGAAAGAAGCTTGTTTTTCTTAAAGCAAGAGGAAGGGAAATGGGTAACCTGAGATTGTATTGGGAGATGGGTATTAAACTGATGAAGTGCACAGCAGGGCTAACATAATAAGTAATGTCCAAGTTATGGAAAAACATTCCTACCTTCAAAAAAGGACTCTTCTCTTTGGAATATCCGGTAACGAGGCATTCAATGACTGGCACATCCAACTTCATTGTCTCCAAATCTGTATCTTGAAGGGAGTGGAAAGATGCAAAGACATGTAGCTTCCAGAGGGTTGTGAGTGACTTGGTTGTGCATGTAATCAGCAGATCAGCAGTCATGAAATGGCTTCTGCAGAAAGCCCTTTGCAGGGGAGGGCGTGGTATATAGTGTTATAGGTGGAACTTAAGTCTTTAAGTGTTTGCTTTATACAATAATTCTTTATACAAGTTGTAAATACAAAGTTAGGATTTTTTTTTAAGTTGTTGCATGAAACTTAAAGGTTAATTTCAAGTTCTAGTTCTTGATTTGTTTTTAAGAGCAATTCATTGTGTTCATTGTCAACTCTGTCGCTCTCCAGATGAACGTTGTATGTCTCAAGCCAAGGCACTTAATCATCAGTATCAAACTGACATACCTGACTGAAGAAACAGGAACAACTTAAACCAATTTCTGTTCGCTGGGATAGTGTATACAGTGTATCTGTATCTCTACCCAGTAGTTTAGACTCTACATTCATGTGAACAAAGTGTCTTGATGAAGTCTCCTCAGTTGTCTGTGATAAATCCTTTGAATGGCTTCAGGATCATTATATTACAAGTGTGTGTGTTATATGGCAGGAAATACCTAATTTAATTTAATAATGCAAGCCCTTGAAATCTGCAGGGAATAACATAAAGCTGTGTAATTCACATCTTTTCAGGGATGCATAACCTCCTGGTTATTAGTAGATATAAGAAAAAAGCTTTTGCCATTTTATTCAGTAGTCTTTATTTGCTGTTAAACAAAATAATAGTCACATTTGGGGATAAAGTACTTCAGCTAAAAGTATATAGATTGGTAATGTTATAAATGAAGTCTCAACTCAATCTGAATTTAGTAATATTTATAAAAGGAATATTTATAAAAGGTATAAAAGGCAAGTAAACAGCACTGGGTGTGCGGGGAGTCTACGCTCCACCAACACTCACACACAAACATCAAACATTCTAAATATATAGAACATTGCTTTTACATGCTAAACCCGAGTATGCCTATACATATGTACAATCAGGAAAGGTAACAAACAATCCTTTAAGTTCCATGACTTA